TATACATACATATATACACATACATATATACACATACATATACACATACACACATATATAGGCCTACACATACATATACACATACATATATATATATATATGTATGTATATATACATATATATGTACATACATATATACATACATATATATACATACATATATATATACATACATACTCTATACATATATACATATATATACATATATATACACACATATATATATATATATATCATGCCTAAACACGCATACATAGGGCATATACATATCATAAGCATAGTTATGCAGATTATTACATATACATACAAATAATATACAAACACACATACATGTACATATACAAAAATATTACATAGGCCTAAATACATTATTATTTGACATTTGCTATTCACTTCAGGAAACAATACTTTTTTACAGTACAGTACTTGTAGTTGGTTTTGAAGAGTTAATTTTCAATCATTTCAATGTGTTTAGAAGCTTATTGCATTATGCGCTATAAGTGTAACTTATCATCATCATCATCATCATCTTCATCGTTATCGTCATATTTTCCGGTCTCGACATCAGTTACTAGTAGTACGTATTTATTTCAGATTTATTACTGACGATGGATAACCACACTGAAGTTAGGTCTACTGAAGAAGCTACTCTGTTCGTTTGGCTACAACGGGGTATTCCAGCACTTTTGTCGATCGATTGGGGAGATGGCTCTCCAACGGAAGAAGTAGATAGAAATTGTATGTAGTATTTCAAATATTTATTTCAAACTCTATTGCAATCACTATAAATGCAAGATGGGTGTGGATATCAATGTTGTAATTGAATTAAATTTACTCTATTAATTTTAATAGAATATTTATTGTATATGATAATTTCCTAAAAGCATCATATACGTGGTGGATATTTGCAATTTAATGTAAAATACGAAATTAATATTTGTTTTGTTTTTGTCTTTCGTGGGGTTCTCCCACCTTCACCTTTACTTTTTTCTACATGCATTTAGCTGTATAAAGTATATAAAGTAAAAAGTTGCAAATGCCTAAAATCATCAAGAGAAAAAAATGTATTAAGAAAATAGTATATAGGCTATAATATACAAATATTTACTGGGTTGAGGGGCATAATTCGAATTATAGCCCGAGGTGACATGGAGGCTGTACTATTATAGCCTCCAGATATATCACCAAGGGCTATAATTTGAACTATGATTCGATTAAAATCCCAGTATAGTTGTTTTATATACCACTACATAGATTCCCTGTTCTTTGAGTCGTGAAGAAGCCTAGGCTAGGGCAGGCCTAGTAGTAGTAGTAGAACTTCCCGAGCAATTCATTGAGGCCTGCTTTTGATAACTCCGTAAATCACAGTTTGTGGCTTTGAGATACTCTTCAAATATTCGCATACTTAACTTGTTTTTTTCGTATTATGACTGTGCTGAACTCACTCAATACACTTGTTCATGAACCAGTTTGAAACTGGAACACTCTGCAGTTGTTATTCCTAGCCTACCAGTACAGTGTGCCGCTTCCAGGTCAACAAATTAGGTCAAATGTGATGAAATTAGTAGAAGCAAGACGCCATTAAAACAATAGGCTTAGCATAATTTTCTACATCGCGAATTGTGAGAGGGCGAGAGGGTAAAAAGAACAAGACTAATCCTCGCTAGCCGGGCATGGCTGAAACTATTGTCCGGCTTTAACAAATCAAATGCCTGGAATCTATGTAGTCGGTACAGTATATAATACATAATAACAAATATATAAACAAATACCCATATTACATAAGAGAACATGGGAACCTAATTTAAAAAAGTAAAAAAAATGCATATTTATATTAAATTATCGTAAGATATAAAGCTACAAAACGAATAAGAAAAAAATAAAAAAATGATCTTAAAATATAAAGCTCAAAATACAAAATTAACGTTTTGTTATATTACAGACAAATTTGAAAATATAGCTATAATTTGAATAATATAACTAAATAATAATAATAATAATAATAATGATAATTCATAATCAACTTCATTGCAATAGTCCAACAGATTGAGTAATACAAAGTAATACGAACTATTCTAATAGGTATGAAATATAAAACACACAAAACCAACAAGCAGAACTTCAGTGAAGTTGTATAATGTTTGAAATCATTAAATACAACATTAATTATACAAAATGTTATGAAAATACCATTTTCTTATCTGCCATCTCTTAATAAAGTAAGCGTGTCATGATTGCATAGGCCTACAATTTAAATCTTCTTATGTACGTTCTCCAACAGCAACTAGCCCTGACGTGCCAGACAATATTACACACTTATTTAATGCCTCTGGCAACATGACAGTAAAGGTAAACGCAAGTAATCTGTGGAACTGGGAAGTATTTGAATTGGAGATCACAGTTTACAACCCGGTTGATTTAGATGCATATGAAATTACTACAAATAGTCCGCAACCAAATGGATTAAGAGATGTTAAAGGTAAATAACTAATTTTTCATGTTTACTGTAAACCAAACATTTCATTAGTATATCTTCTCAACATCAAATACTGTACATTATTACAATGTAAATCACATCATAGTAAACATAGATGCTACAAACACAAGATAGAACTCTGATATAGCAAAAGTGAAGCGGATAAATACGTCATACATTTCACGCAGATCAAGACGTACGCGGTGCTCTTCTGTTTCCAATACTGTAATTGCAACTAAAGTTTATGTCCGTCCAGCCAACCAGATCCAGACGCACGCGGCGCCCCATTTAATAGGGCGCCGCGTACGACTAGATAAAAAAAAACTTGCGTTAGTACAGTTTATCCATGATGCAATTCGGGGTGATACAATTTTTTTTTCTGTGGAGAGTTCTATCTTGTGAGTCTAGAATATATTTGATGTAAATCACATGACAGTAAAGCTACTTTCACATCGGATCCGAACGGAAATTTGGACTGCGTTTCCGATGCGTTGAACGCCAGTGTCCCTATTCCAACATTCGGATTCGGTCCGAATGCACATTAACATTGATACAGGGAAAGACCTTCACTTCATTAAGATGATAATAAACATTTGAGAAAAATGTATGTCTCCATCTTGATGAACACCCAGGTCCTTCCGATGACCATTCGAATACTCTATCAACTGAGTTATGAGGTGATCCCTGAAAACAAAATATTCAACCATTTCCGACTTAGGCCTACTATAACCATCTACAACTTGGTGTATTATTCGGATATGTTGTATTATGTTGCAAAAATACATAACTGTATTTTACAAGGAATAAATATATTTTCAATGTTGTTCGTTTTGTTATTTATATTACTTATTTGTTTTTAATTTGAAGGCGTTATTACGATCGTAACATCATACACTAACGGTGCTGTAAAGCCAGCAACTTTCGCTGACGTCACAATAACCGGTGGTTATGCATTTGATGAGGTCCTTAAAGACAAGATATATGACATCACATCTGTTGGCGACTCCTGTACTTTAAAAATCGAATTCACGTACCCTGGTGTATACCTCCTCACTTTAAAGTTCGAGAATCCCATCAATAGTGAGGAATATGAAGTCGAGGTATGTTGTCCCTGGTAGCAGGCACAGTAGTAGCTTTCGATTGCGTAACAGCGTGACCCTAACCCGGATGCGCTTATCCTTTATTTATTTTTTGTTTTTGTTTAAGGACTCTGTGTGTCGACATTACGTTAATGCAAAGATACTACGAACATAAGATATCTCTCATTAAAAAAAATGTAGCACCAAAAAGCATGGAGAGAATACAAGGAATGGGGCGCGGTACGTCGGAATATAAAAACTTCTTAGTGATGGAATGGAAACAGCCTGTCTTCAAGAAAGGCTTTTATGAATTGATGTCTGTTGTGAAGCAGAGATCCCATCATTAGCAGAAAGAGAAGGGCGCCGCGTACGTCGGGATGTGCGTAAAGCTTCACTTCTATCACTTCAGAGTCCTATCATATGTTTCTAGTATCTTTAATTATAGATTTTATCGTCGTGGTGCAATCGAACGTCACCTATTCCTATCTGAATTTTAAATCATTGGATGTGCTCTGTGTGTGTGTGTGTGTTTCGATGTGTTTATTAATTGTATTTTTTTTCTTACTTTTTTAAATTTTTTTTTATCTATTCTCTTACTAGGTTTCTCTAAATTATAATATTATAATTTACATATTATTATTATATTATAATATACAGATTCTTGCTCTTACTCTTTTTTAGACAATTAATAATTTCACATTACAATTTCAATGCTGTAATGTTTGTATTCTTGATAATGACGTTTTCAAATAATTATTAACAACAGTATGGATGCTAAATACAAGATAACAAACTCTTAGTTTAAACAACAAAAGGCTGAAATGATTCACTTAAATATTTGTTTTATAATTATATTTGGTGACCTATATATTAACAAATCCACAGAACTCAGAAGAGAGTAGTACAGTTTGCGAAAAACAAAGACAGATACAACAGCTGGCGAAAACTCCCTAATAATATTATTAATGTTTGGTAGAACATTCAGACTTTGTTTTGTTATCTCTACTTTTGATAATGTAGGTTGAGATCCTGGATATTATCTATGGTTTTGAGGTTACACCGCGACATATACCGGTCGAAGAACAATTCAGATCGCCAGAAGATGGCACTTTTATTGATGGCGTTTGGTATATGCCAATTGAAGTACCGGTTTTATTCACAGCAACGGTAGAACAAGGTAGCATTGTGTTATGGCCTGTCCAGACTATCAAATTTTATTTGACAAAATGTGACATGAAAATATGGTCATAATGCCATCACATCATGTATGGGCATCGTGACTGTATATGTGCATACAGCAGTTTGTCTTTGTCAAAGCAAATGTGATAATCTGGTCATAACCACGCACACACCGTTTACGCAGATATTAGGTTAAGTACTCAAACATCTGTCGAAATAATTCTATTTTTCATTATTGAGCTTAAATCAACACCTTATTGGGGAAAAAGATGTTTCTGTATTTGTATTATAATTATATAACACTCTCACATTAAAAGTTACTGTAACCAGCATTAAGATGAGGCGGACAATATATTAAATTTAACCACAACATTTCGTTCACATAGTCAACTTTTACGTAAGTAAACAGTTACCACGAATCTATACAAGTTGAACTAAACAAAATATCCTCAAAAATAACGCCATAACAATGTTGCCTCTAGCAAGAATTTGCCATTAGGTAAAACAAAATACAAAATAATAATAAGAAGAATTTAATAATATTCATTTAAATACTGTATATATATTATACACTCGTATTGAAGAATGACAAGTTTTTTGGTTTGTTTTCTGTTTGTATTGAAGATGGGTTAAAGAGTACACCCGAAACATGTTTACCATTAAATCCTTAGTTCTTCTCTTCAAATGTGTTGTGTTTTTTCATTAATTTACGTCCGTTTGGGTCTATTGTCAAGGAATTTAGTTCGAAAGATTTGCTTATTTGTTTGCTTAGGAAGTACGAGAGGACATCCTTACATTTCATCAACGCAGAACTGGATTATAATTTCTTACATAATTGCAAAACGTTCGGCATTTTTCTGAAATTCATTTAATTTAATAATAATAATAATAATAATAATAATAATAATAATAAAAATAATAAAAATAATAATAATAATAATAATAATAATTATTATTATTATTATTAGGCCTATTATAATTATTATACTTTCCAAAATTATCAGGGAGCTTTACACTAAGCAAAGACTAATTAAAATGCAAATTTGATAAACATAAAAAAAACTAATGTAGATGTCTAAAAATTGAATAAAAACATTATCTTGTATCCCAGGTAACGACATTGCATATACATATGAAGATTTCGGTGATGGAAGTGTTGCAGTAAGTACACGGGAAGAGGTCTACAGCCATAAGTATAGTTCCGTGAGTTTACTTTTCTTTTTTTCTTCTTCTTATCGTGTCTAACACACTTGCTAGATATTTCAGCCAGAGCTGGACACAATTCTAAAACAATCATTGAAAATGAAGCAAAATATCCCAGAAAAGCACAGACCTATAATATATATAATGTTAATTAAGTGACACGTTTAAAAGGTAAACGTGTTTAGGCCCGGCCTAATGTGTTTAAATTTCTGACGTTTTTAGCATTAGATGTGCTTAGGTATAATATGAAAAGCACATTTAATTCTAAACACGTCAAGATCCTAAACACATTAACATCTAAACAAGTTTAGCTTGTAAACCTGTCACCAAAAACGGGACAAGATTGAGTGGAGCTTTGCGTTTGATTCCTCCACGCTAGCATAAAGAAAATGTCACTTGCCATCATAGAGCTATTTAATAATACCTCTATGCTTGCCATGCAAACCAAAGATAATAGAAACACAAGATAGAGTTCTCCACAGAACGCGCAGAATCGGATGACCGGACTCTGGTTATTTACGCTAGGGTATCGTTAATCGAGTGATGTGAACTTGGGCGCGGCGTAGCGAACACTAGTAATATCGCGCAATCACTGGCGTACGGTAATCCAGCAACAGACCCCAGATTAGCGTCAGAGAACTTAAATAGCAGAAGAATGAGCTGCTTTGTGTATTTGTATTAAAATTGATGGAACATCCGCCCTCCTGCGAATGGTGCAAAATTTGACCATTTTACTAAGTGGAAAACTACATGAAACAAACGAACCTGAGCGGCGCTTTTATTATTACTATATAGCGCCGCCGCGCGGACGGGGTAAAATTGCTCTTCGTGTACCCACAATGTATTTCGAACGGATGTTCCACTATATTGGGAAGCTGCTCCTATCTTCACATATTTATTATCTTTGTTAGCGTACGCCAATGATTACGAAGTCACGCATCAGTGATTTTGAACTCAGCCAGGATTTGACCAGTCAATATAAGCCTAGATGTAAACAGAAAAAAAAATGCGCGAATTATGAATACGAATATTTTGCACGAATAACTCTAGCGTTCGTTAATCGGCCAGTCTGGACATCTCGCTAGTTACGCCATGAATTAACGTACGCCCGGCGTTAGATACGCCTGGCGTATCTCTCAAATAAAGTTTTCCTTCATTAGAGGAAAACGAAAGGTGCCGCGTGCGTGTGGATTTACTTAGCAACAGAAGGGCGCCCTGTACGTCTAGACCAAGTAGATAATTTGAATTAATAAAAAGAGAAGGGCGCTGCGTACATCTGGACAAATGCAGGTCATTTTTGCGGTGCGAGTGCTCTATCCTGTGTTTCTACTATTTCTAGTGTCTTTGATGCAAACCGAATGGTCAGCCTCTTGAGAAGCCTAAAAGCCTGTTTATACTAAAAAAAAGGCTAAAAAGCGATTGTTCATATAGAAAACAAAGGAAATAAGAGAAGTTTTTACACTAGGACGATTCGATAACGATTTATCGTGTATACGATAAAAAAATATTTTAACAAATCAAATCAGAAGACGTCATAATCATGGAAAAAACGAAAATCGTTGCTACTACTACGATTTTAATGTTTTTCCATGATTATGACGTCACCTGATTTGATTTGTATTCCTGTATGTTGTTATCGCAAAACTAATAAATCGTTATTGAATCGTTCTAGTGTAAGAACTTCTCTTATTTCGTTTATTTTCTATATGAACAATTGATTTTTAGCTTTTTTTTAATCGTTATCGTTGAAGTATACACAGGCCTTAAAGCCGGTCACTCACTGCGCCCCAGCGGTCTCCGGTTGACGCGATTAATTCTATTGAGAACGCAACTCAAATACACGTGCGCAACAGAACGTTTTTAATACAGATCCTTTCAGACTGCCAATGACGATTGGCAGACGGCATCGAGTCGTCTAACGCTCGCAGAGCGGAGTTGGATTCGTCGGCCGACAGTCGTATATCGTCTCGTACGACCGTTAATGTCCGGCTTAAAAGTTCATCACTGCGTTGCATGCCCCTACATCAACATTGATAAAACCAAATACTATGCACGACTGAACTTTTGAAATAAATATGTGTAAATGACACATACAATATATTCATATTAATAAATCATAAATATTTGACTTATCATGTTTTTAAGGGCCTGGTATGATATTTCCTGTGAATGGAACGTACCTTCAAAATACCAATTATACACTAAATACATCGCGCATGACAGTTGATACATTTTATGAGATCATATTCCGGGGAATAAAGGGACAGAATGAAGGTTTACGATACTTTGAGCTTGAGCTGATAGGAGCACAACCACCGCAGCCTATTATAAGGTAAAATTACACTATAATAGAATAATTCGAAGCATATTTCCTATTATATCAGTAGGAAGCTTTCAAAATCACGTTTACGTACGCACACGGATTTGCACTCTCCTATTTTGAATTGCGCATGCCCCTAATTATGCAAAAATATTTTTTACGTTGTCTTCAGAACGTAGAAGCAACCAAGTTAGCGTGCCCATGTACACCTCTTGCGTCAGACGTTACGCTGCAATTTTTGAGTAAATTCTCAAATGAATATTATTTCTTTCTACTTGCTCTGATTATGTTTACATATTTGTTTGGTTAGAATTGCTGACGGAACCCCGTTTGAGCCTTCGTTAGTGCCATCTCAATACGGACAGCTTTTGAGACCCAATGCCGACATACGTATAATTGGTGACTGCGTTCAACCGTGTAATATATCAACGTACGAATGGAAGTTAAGACCTGGGAATGAAACGGATTTCAACGAAGTAGCTTGGGAAGAGTTTAGCCACCAACCGACAGGTATCTAATAACTAATAAACCATTCAAACACGTTTGATACCGTTCTTTATATATAGGAATACATTTGTACAGTAAATCAGGGGCGTATGCAGAGATGTCCTAAGCGGGGTAGGGGTAACTTTTGGGGCCCTCACGCACCCCTAGGTACACCACTCTGTAACAACTAATTTATGTACTGTTTTATAACAAAACTCTCGAACATTTATTTGCAAACTTTCGCTGCCAGCTTAATTATGTCCACCAAATGGATATGCCAGCCAAACATACCCTTGGATATTGTTGCTTAATTATGTTCCACATAATGACAACGTAAACAAGCATGTTGGAAGTGCGCGTATTCCTGCACCTGTTATGATTGGTCAGTTGTTAAATTTGATTGACACTCCGGAATGGTCCATTAACTACATTGCCTTCTAATTTTCTAAGAAATGAAACCATATCAGTAATTTTAAAACAAATATATGATAAGTTTCCTTGTGTTTTATTTTATATAGGAATAACAACTGACACACTGTTTATACCACGTGAGCTCATTGAGTCTCGCCTGCCAGATATTTATCGGTATGAAATTGAACTTCAACTGGTGGACTCGGAAAACGTTCGTGGTGTAGCAGCAATCAAGATTGCGATCAATTTACCACCAAGGGATGGTACTTGCGATTTAATATCTTCTTCTACCATATCGGTTGGAGAAGGCGTTAATGTCACGTGCGATAACTGGAAGGATGAGCATGGAATTGCCACCTACACCGTTTACAGTGAGTTTTATAATTGATTAAGAAAAATCTAGTACATTAGATGTATTATCTAGTACATTGGATCCATTATGTAGTACATTAGATCTATTATCTAGTACATTAGATCTATTATCTATTACATTATTATGTAAGAGTGACAATGTTAGTTCTGTAATCAAACAGGTACTGAGTGAACATATGATTGTAGACTTGCCCTTTAGGTGTTTTATATTTGAAATAAGTTTACGTTGCACACCATGCTGAAAATTAGGCTAGCTGTTTTATCGCATTTCACTGACGGGTTTTATTTCTGTACACTGCACAAGTGCATTCAACTCATCGCAACGATAATAATGTTAATGGTGACGATGACACTATTATTCTACACGTCATACGTGAAGTGATGCTGGGTACAAAAGATCCTGTGTAAAAATGTAATATGTTACATGTAATTCTGCTAATACAAAAGAAAGAGGTTCTTAGGTCATTTTCACAATAGGATAAAAATAACCAATAAAAAATAATATCTAAAAAATTTTTAAAAATTGACCCTACATTGTCAAAAAGAAATAAATTTGGCAAGGCCTAAGTGCGCAAATCAAATTAGTTTTCTGTAACAATAATAATTAATAATGATGCAATAATGTAGTCCTATATAGCACTAAATAGTTCTTTTCGAAACTATATAATATTATATATAGGCCTATACACAATCATATGATCTACTTTTTAAATCCTTTATTTTTTTTTAGCTCGCAATAGCCAAATATCGACCGACAGTCTGATCAGTATCCGTGAATCCGGACAACTAACCAATTTGAAGCTACCAATGGGCCCCGAATCGGACGAATATAAGTTGGAAATTCTAATCCAAATAACTGATAATTTTGAATCGTCGACAACAAAGTCAGTTGGAGAAGTCATTGTAAGCGATTTCACAAATTGTTTTCTACAGCCGGCCACACACTGCAAAGGCCGACGGTTGGTCTTCGATCGGCAACTTACGGTCTGAAGACGCGATTTCATGAATGAAATGCGACAGGGCGGGGCGCAAGCGACGGATCGTTTTCGACGATCCGGTCAGAGTACCACAAACAATTTGCAGACGGAGTCGTGTCGTAAAGCGCTAACACAGACCATAAATTGATTCCTTATCCGACGGTTGGTCTGACTGTCGGCTTATTTCGATATATTTTCGTTTATCATTATTCTCATGTTTTCAACGCTTTGATGCTTTATATGCCTAATTAATGTGCTATACATGTCTCTTATACACATCTAGATGTGTATAAGAGACGGGGACACCACTCTGTAACAACTAATTTATGTACTGTTTTATAACAAAACTCTCGAACATTTATTTGCAAACTTTCGCTGCCAGCTTAATTATGTCCACCAAATGGATATGCCAGCCAAACATACCCTTGGATATTGTTGCTTAATTATGTTCCACATAATGACAACGTAAACAAGCATGTAGGAAGGAAGCGTATTCCTGGACCTGTTATTATGATTGGACAGTTGTTAAATTTGATGGACACCCCAGAATGGTCCATTAACTATATTGCGTTCTAATTTCCCAAGAAATGAAAACATATCAGTAATTTTAAAACAAATATATGATAAGTTTCATTGTGTTTTATTTTATATAGGAATAACAACTGACAAACTGTTTATACCACGTGAGCTCATTGAGTCTCTCCTGCCACATATTAATCGGTATGAAATAGAACTTAAACTGAAGGACTCGGAAAACGTTTATGGTGTAGCAGCAATCAAGATTGAGATCAATTTACCACCAAGGGATGGTACTTGCGGTTTAATATCTTCTTCTACCATATCGGTTGGAGAAGGCGTTAATGTCACGTGCGATAACTGGAAGGCTGAGCGTGGAATTGCCACCTACACCGTTTACAGTGAGTTTTATAATTAATTAAGAAAAATCTAGTACATTTTAGATGTATTATCTAGTACATTAGATCCATTATGTAGTACATTAGATCTATTATCTAGTACATTAGATCTATTATCTATTACATTATTATGTAAGAGTGACAATGTTAGTTCTGTATT